GACAAATCACTTAGCCTACCACTTAGCTTGATTCACCATGGTAGGGCCTACCAATCCATGGTGCTGAAGTCCTGAGGCGCCAGCCACGGTCACGGTGCTGTCAAGGAAGAGGTCCTGGAAGAGGCTGCTTTGGGGAATTCCGCACAAAGGAGACCACTCACAGTCTCCAAACCAACAAGAATGATCCCCAAATAGACAGAAAAGTAGACCCCCTCTCAAAATGTATTGGAAATCGTGCCACTATCTATTTGGGGACCACTATACATAAATCAGGGTGGTGGTCCCCCATTTGCCTAACCAGCCTTGAGTATGCCCTACATGCAAAAAGTGCTGTTGTGACGGAAAAATACCTCAAAGAGCGACTTATGCAAATCAGTTCGCAATTCGCGACCCGTTTCATGGTGACGCCGGGGGCTTCTTGGGACAGAGGTCTGGCTACACAGTACATCCAGCGATCCAGCGATCCGCAGCCCGCAAGAAGGCAGCGACGTCCACCAAACCCAGCCTTTGTTGCTAGTAGCTTCTTGCTCCTAGTAGAAATGCCAGGAGCTACTAGTAGCTTCTTGCTACTAGTAGTAATGTCCGTGTTACTAGTAAAGAACGTCCATGGAAACTTGGTCAAGCCCCAACAAGACCTATATAACAAGTCCCCTCATCACAGCGCCTTGCACTTCTGCCGTCTTCTGCAACTGCAGCTCCTCCGCCAAAGGATCTGTCTTGTCCTCCAAAAGGGAAATCACCTCAAAAGACTCAGAGAGTGGAAGGAAAGGCACTGAGACCACTCTGTGACGATTTGTCGTAGGACATGTGTTTTGTTCTGCAGTCATAGAGAACCATCATACCATGAATCAAACCGTGAAACGAAACCCTGAGATCGAAAAGGGGAACTGTCGAAGAGAGGACGTGGCACCAGTGGCACCAGTGTTCACTTCTCCTCCTAGTCAAGGTCTTTCCGACGTTCCCAAGGTCTTCTTTTCCAACATTTCACACGTCTGCCACACACGCACACACTCACACAAATGAAAGAACCATGCTTTGTTCTTCCCCGCTGGTTGAAAAAGACCGCTGTACGACCGCACCAAACGCGCCAAGACCGCCGTGTTTGCGACGTCCCGCGGGTCCCGCGGGTCATGTTCCAGTCCCTGAGGTCCCGTTTTTTTTGCCGTGAGGTCCCACGCGATCTGAGGTCTGGATGCCAACAAAAGCTGGGCACTTGTAACGATCGGTTTGCAGTGGCACTTGTAACATGAAGTGTGGGTTCGACACACCCGAATTCTTCCAAACACATGGATATAAACAACTCAACAAAAGGTTTGTAAAGAAGAAGTTCGCCACTCGAGAAACGATCAACTCTCCATCCAGCCAAGGCTCTGGTGCCAGATCCGCCAAACCGGTGGTCTCGATGATGATCCGCTCCAAACACCGCCCGCTTCGGTGTCGCCGCACCAAGCCCTGTCGTGTCAAAGAAGACGCGGCGCTTCTTCACCCAAAGAAACCGAGGAAGCGAAGCACCGGAGCGAAGCAAAGCACAGCAGGTCTCCGCATCGAAGGGCGGACGGACGTCGCGACCGGTCCGGACGGCGCGACGGGAAGCGTGAGGCGTCGCTTCCCGTCTCGCCAGAACTGGTTTGTTTGAAGCGACGAAGCTGGAACTGCAAAGCGAAGGACGGTGGTTCTGCAAATCGGTTCAAGCCAAACGACCTAGGTGTAACTGTAGCATGAGATTCTATGAGACCCACATTTTTCATGCCCTGGTTGCTCGGGCCCTTTCCCGTGGGCTTCAAGCCCCGATCAAACACTCACAACTCCAATCCAGAGCAATCCGGATCCAGCAGGATCCAGCTCACCAAAAGTTCAGCAGTTCAGCTCCATGGCATGCTTTACAATGTAAAGCTCGACCGGCCCGGGAGCGTTTACCATACATGTAGAGGGTATGTAGAGTCGAAGGTGTGCGTGACAGATCTGTTTTTATTCGTACATGTAAGACTTTTATAAAGCTGGATTTGCAGGTATGCTAGATGTAAGTAAATTCTTGTTCCTAGTCGTAAGGCCAGGAGCCCCGTTCGTAGCGTCCGATCGCTTCGTTCGTAGCGATGCCCTTTGCTCCTAGTAGCGAGTTGTTCAAAAGCCATCACCGATCTCCAACCCCTGCAAGTCCCCTGCCCAGTCCACCTCCAGGGCAGCGACCAAGTCCACCTCCGCCGAGCAACAGAGGCAACCTTGATGAGGAACACGGCTGCGAGAAGACAAAGAAAAATGTTGGGTCTATCCAATTAGCAGTAAGAGTGGATGATGATACTTAGTAGAGGCCTTGTTCAAAAAATCGTGTTGATGGTTTACTGACGGCTCTACAGGTAAGAAAGGACAGACCCAAACAGTCCCGGTGACATGATGATCGAGATATGTGTGTTCATGTCCCGAATCATGTGGAAAGGTCCAAGACATGAGCCTTTCTTTTGTCAATTGGATGAGCCTTTCTTTTCTAGTACGCTTCGGCTTGGCGTCCACCTGGCGTCCCGGCCATTGGACAATTCTATGACACCGTCAGCCTCGCGACAGGGACGACGTCCTGGTGCTCTCGGACCTTGTGGTTCTGGTGACCACCAAGTGGATCAGGTCAGGTCCAACATGTACATTGTATACTGTACATTGTATACAGGGTCATCCACCAGAGTCTCTTGCCTGTGCTAAGAAGCACCTTTATTTAAAAAAATAGATTTAATAATAAGTAAATAAATAAACAAGCAAATATATAAGTAAATAAACAATTTAAAAAATACAAATAATTGCAATAAATGAATAAATAAGTAATAAATTATTTAAAAAAAAAAAAACACACACAAAGATGTTCGTCAGCAACATCCTCATGTGAGTTTTGTTTGCACCTCAGCATGGGCGTTGGCCACCAATGCGCCGTCCACTCCAAGAGCACCAATCTCATTCTCAATGACAGCAATCTCGGCAGCCCAGGACTGGTCGCAAAAAAGCAGCAAGTTCTCTGACCGGGTCATGGCAGTGGGACACCCTGGTTTTTCCCACCAAGAATGAACAGACTACGTGGCAGGTCAACCTACCCTGGTGACCAGGGCTGGCTTTGATCCACAGCCGGTTTTGAGCTGGGAGCGTGCAGCTCCGATTGGGAGCTGGAAAAGCTGCCATTGGGTGCAATGGCAAATGCCCAATGTGACTTAGGCCTTCAATCCAATCCACTTACATTATTTGCATTGTGTCCACTCGGCGACACTTCCACAACGCATCTCATTTGCTTCTGACCGTTTCCGTTTCAACCTCTTTCTCCTTTTGCTTCTTTTCTTATTCATATTTGTTCCTCTGCTTCTGACCGTCATCCTTCCACTTTTCAAGCGCCCAGGCCCGGCTTTTGCCTTCCTTCAGAGTGGCATTCAAGCGCGCCTCGACCAGTCGCGGCAGCTCAGTCACAACAAGTCGCACTCAAATGAAACGCATGTAGCCTGTCAAAGAAGCTCTGCCTGCGTGCGAAGAGCTTCATCTTGGAGCTTTCTTGGACTCTCCTTGAAGTTCAAGTAGTTCAAATCCGTGGGCCATAGGACTGATCTATCTTGGGATCCAAAAACGACTCAAGCATCGCCGCCTATGTCTCTGGAGTCCGACACCTCTACGAATGGTCAGAGTCCAACGTCTCCGCAACCCGTCTCCGCCGGTCGCCGGTGCAGGCCGTCTTGCCAGCTCCAAGGAAGCCAGTGAGTAAAGTGACTGGCACCTCACACGGAGATGATGCGGCCGACGAAAGGCTCGTCAGCGGCGAGTTTCAGGGAAGACGTGAAAGCTCAAGAGCTTTATCACATCGAAAAAAAAGAAAGGAAAGCATCGCCCACCCTTGCATAAGGTTTCAAGTCCTAGAAAGTTCTAGTTGTTTACCTTTTCCCAG